CTATATGAGGTTTATATAGGCCTCTTATAAGGGTAACTACCCACCTGGAACTGTCCTTGAATTTGAGCTATAGTCTAAACTCCTTAAACGGCGTTATATAGGGGATTTATGTAGGGGACTATTATAGGGGTTATTAAGGGGGATACTAGGAGTTTAGACTATAGCTCATTTGATTCTCTAGTTTCCGAATCATGCTTCCACGGAAGGGCTTCAGAATTAGCTAGTGCCATAAGAATACCACTCTTTGGAGAAGCCCACAACCCCTTCCTATATCCTGACCCCTTATACGAGCTGCTGGTAATATTAGGCTTACTTACTAAGGAACCCTTAACATTGGACATAGGGGTCTTTCTTCTAGCGTAGTCTTCAATAGTATCCTTAGTAGGGAGCCCATGTCCATTAATTACCCGGGAGTATGACTGTAGCTCATATCCCTATCACATCCTAAAACCCCTTTCCCGCCCAGGTATGGGAAAGCTACAGCCGCCAGGGGGATAAGATCGGCGCGGGTGGCTTTGGGTTCGTCTTCGGCGCGACCCACAGAGCCACGGGGGAGACAGTGGCCATTAAGGCCCGCTGGTTCAGGGTTTAGGGTTTGAAGAGTTTGGGCTTTAGGGTTTCAGGGCTGAGGGGCTCTAGGGATAAGGATGAGGGTTTAGGGGGAGGTGTCAGGAAGAACATCGACAGCGTGAATTGAAAGGATGAGCTAAATAAGAATATAGTCCCCCTTAAGTAGATAGAATATATCTACTCAAGGAGGACTATAATGGGATGAAGACGAGGAGGGATCGGTCGTCATAGTGGTAGTGGTAGTGGTTAGGGTTTAGGTTAGGGTTTAGGGTTAGGGTTTAGGGTTTAGGGTTTAGTGGTAGGTGGAGGAGGAAGATTTTGACAACAGCCTGCGGCTTCATGCGGGGAATGTTGGCAACAAGTTCAGCTTTTGCGTCCTTCTTGCCAGGATCTCAAAATGATGGGCCTCTTTGGGTTATAGGCTTTATAGGTTATATCACGGCACCTAATCTTTAGGGGTACCAAAATGGGACCGTAAGCTTGGGAAGCAGCCGACGACTCTAATTTTGGCAGACGCCGATGTGACATGTTTCAGGCGGGAATACATAGCCCAGTAATCCCCAACATTCCCTCATTCTCCCTGTGCTCCTCCATGAGGCTCCCTACAGCTCTCTAGTCTTAGGGTTTAGGGGTTTAAGGCTTAGGGGTTTAAGGTTTAAGGTTCAGGGGTTTAGGATTCAGGGGAGGCCCAAAAAGGCCCTCAAAGTCTGTTGTCCATTAAAAAGGGGCTATTTGAGTAGTATTTCAGTTGAGGGTACTCAGCACCAGCAAAAGCGTAAGATTAAAAGACACCATTCATACCGGCGTCCATGTTGGGGGATGGCAAACCCTCCTAAAGAAATTCAGGTGGATATTCCTACTCCCCAAGTTTCCCCGCGTAAGCTGGACATAGCCTAAACCCTAAACCCTAAACCCTCCATGTACCCCATGTTCTCCCCCCTGGTACAGGTCACTCCCCACCTGAAGGCCCTAAACCTTTGAGCCCTAGACCCTAAGCCCTGCACCCTTGAGCCCTGCACCCTTGAGCCCTGAACCTTAGAACCCTAAATCTTGAAACCCCAAATCTTGAAGCCCTAAACCATGAAATCCGAAACCTGTAGACCCTAAACCTTTGAAACTAGACTACACCTTTAAAGCCTGAACCCTAAACCTTTAAACCCTAGACCCTAAACCTTTACCCCCTGGACTCCAAACCCTGCTTCAGCCAGGCCGTTCCCAAGCTTGATCTGAAGCGCGCGCCGCAGACTGCTCCAGAACAGCTGGGGCAGATGCGCAGGTAGGTTTTGGAATTTTAGGGTCTAGGGTTTAGCGTCTTTTCGGGGCTTTAGGGATAATGGAAGATGGATAGTGGGAAAAGAAAATGGAAGCTACTATTTAGGGTGTAAGGTTATAGTTTAGGTGGACCCCTCCATCCAGTAATAGTGATTATAATAAGGGATAATAAGGATTATATTGAGGCCCTCTTATATTCCTAGCATGTCACTACTACAGTCGTCCTCTTCAGATATGTTGTGAAGAGACGTTGTATGCCGGTAGGGTCTCAATCTTTTAATGTACAGACGGTGACCCGGGGTTCGGTGAGTAGTCAAACCGCCTGATGCTCCCTGCATTTGCAAGGCGTGACGCCCAGAGACTCAGGGAGGAGATCTTGATCATGAGGACCAGAAGGGCATGGGGATGCGGTGGAGCGATGAACATCTGAGACCAAGCGTCCTCAACCCTAAACCCTAAACCATGAGAGAGATGGAGGGAACAGCAAAACAAGTTACAGGATGCCTCGGAGTCATTTTGAGATCAACATGAGGACATCCTGACCTGATGTGTTCAACTCTTTTATAACTGGTCCTCCCCGTCTTTGGATTTGTGCAGTGCTTTGCATGCAGCTCACTAGAGAGCTTTTTATGGGGAACGAATTAGAAGGAGAAGTGAACTGCAAAGGGATGGGGTCCTGCACGGCTTTGCCAAGCTCCCGCAAGGAAGCTGGATCATCCGAACACCGTGCTTCTCTATGAGACCTTTGAGGATGCATGCGGCATGCGCAGCAGTTCTTTCCACACTATGTCAAGGCTACAAGGTTCCTGAAAATAATTGTTAATTTCTGTTACCAACAATCCTAATATTTAGCTGAAATTGTAATTTCTACTGGGGTTCCAAATCCCTTAGAGAAGGGACGATCTCCTTTTCGGTTCGGTTTTGCCCGAATTCTCGTGAGGATGAGAAGAACGTGTTCCTCGTGATGGAGCTTTGTTCCGGCGGTGAAATGCTAGGTGCGGGACCCTGGTCCGTCCTTGATCTCTCTAGAACACACAGAAAGACCCTGTGAAGATATCCCAGAGAATTCCAAACAGAGACACCCAGAATACCCTAAGTATTCCCATATTGAGAAACTTTCAAGACAAGCCAAGCTAGGAAATCATAGATTTTTTTGGGTTGCTGTTGAAGAACTTAAGCTACAATATTACAATAAGGAACCCAATGATTTACCATTTAACCGTGGTATGGTAGCTTTAAGTTAACTTCCTCCTCAACAACCCAGTTTTTGGGTGGTCAAGTCATAAGGAGGAAACATGTGGGCGTGTGCCAAAGCTACTGTCCCGCGGTGCCTTCACATTTTCTCTGTGCCATTCCGGTGCCACACACGCAACGAGCCTGAGAATCCCTGAGCCCTGAGCCTATAGTCCCCCATAAGTAGATAGAATATTTTTTGGGTATGTTATAATAAGATCCCATATGCCCTATATTCTATCTACTTAAGGGGGACTTACATAAGTCTCCCTGACTCTCCAAGTCTTCCCTTACAGCAAACCCTAAGCCCTGAACCCTAAGCCCTAAACCCTGAACCCTGAACCCTAAGCCTTAAACCCTAAGCCCTAAGCCCTAAGCCCTAAACCCTAAACCCTCGCAGGCTTCATCTTGGAGAGTGGCCGCCACACAGAGTCCCAGGCTGCGATTGTCATGCAGCAGGCTGCTGGGATTGAGGGTTGAGGGTTTAGGGTTGAAGGAGGGCTTGGGGGGGGGGGGGTTGGGCGGACAAGGGTTCAGGGTTTAGGGTTTAAGTATAGGATTTAGGGTTTAGGATCTATAGGATTAGGGTGATTTAGTATGACTACAACCCTTTTAATCTAAACAGGAGCCTCTTCCCTTCACTAACCAATCTTCTAAGTCCCCTTGACCTCCAAGTCAGAAGGAGTGGGGGCCTTTTCTGGGGTCGAGGCTGGCAGAACAAGTTGGTGTTCGGGGACCCCCCACCCTGAAATAGTGACTATAAGGGATTAGAAGGGTCATACTAGGCTCCTATTATATTCCTAATATACCACTATCAGAGGTTGGGGGGGTTTTGCAGAGTATTGGTGGCATTGAGCATCCTTGAGGAAAATCATGTAAGAGTATGTGAGGAAAGGCTGCTGGTGGTACTGTTAGTGTACGGCAGTGGCTTCAAGACAAGTGGAAAATGACGATTTTGGGGAGCACCCATCATCCCCTCCCCAAATGCTGCCCCCAATACAGCACCATCATATGTTAGGAGAAAAAGCATTAGCAATCTCTCAGCAGCTGACAGCCAGGTGTTCCAGGCGGTCGTCTACCTGCACTCAGTTGGCATCTGCCACCGTGACATCAAGCATAGCAACACCCTCTTGCTGAGTCAAGCCCAGCTTGAGGACAACGTGGTGACACTCACCTGCTCTTAGCTTATAGGGGTTATAGTAAGGAGTAGGGGAATATATTGATTCGCGATTTATACAGGGATGATATTCCCTTATTCCCTATACGCCAACCATCTGTACGGGGCATCGGTTGACATCCACTTGGAGGGTCAGGGGGACTTAGTAAGGCTAGTAACCCCTACAACCAAAATAGTAGCCATACTTATCCCATGGTTAGCCTACTTCTTAAGTCCCCCCCCAAACCCTAAACCCTAAGCCCTAAAGCCTAAACCCTAAACCCTATACCCTAAACCCTAAACCCTAAGCCCTAAAGCCTAAACCCTAAACCGTATACCCTAAACCCTAAGCCCTAAAGCCTAAACCCTAAACCCTAAGCCCTCCGAGTACGACTAGAACCAGCTCTATAGCCTCGGCTGCTGCCGCCACTGCCACCACTGCCCCTGCACCAAGACTGGGTTGCTGTGAAGGAGTTTCCGTAAGGGTCCAAGGACCCAAATAACAGGGTTTTAGGCCCCAAATACTATAATATCATTGGTATTTGGACCCTAAAACCCTATTATTTGGGTCCTTGGACCCTTAGAGTTTGCCGTTACTAGGTACCCCAGTGGTACCCTTTTGCCCTTTTTATTTTGAGGTCTTCTTATTAAGGCTGATCATTAGGAAAAAGGGTACCCTTATTGTTAATGGGCTACTGGGGAACCTAGGTTAAGGAGTTTGAGTTCAGGGTTTGGAGTTAAGGGCTTACGGAACTTGAGTTAAGTTACCATAATATGGGTATATGGTAAATAGTAGTGTTTGTTTACGATAGTAGCTTAATGTAAGTTTCGTAACAGCAACCCTGAAGACAAGAACCACAACGACGGAAGAGGATGACGACAACCACCACCAGCGCTACCTTCATCACCACGAGTAAGTGTACCATAGGTTCGTTCTAACATTAAGAGACCCCAAGGGTCATGTAAGGTTATATAGGGTTATAGAATAGGGTTGTAACATAACTTTCGCCGTTGTTGGCTCGAGGTCAATTCAGAATTTGAGAAACAGAAGGCCCCTACATGCCATTGATGTGCTCTTGCTATCGTTGCTATGTCGCAAGTTGCCAAAAGACTTCGAGCTCATAGCTGGTTTAGGAGGCGTTGTCAAAAACTCAAGCCTAAACCCTAAACCCCTAAAGCCTAAACCCCTAAACCCCTAAATTCCGCGCTTGAGCTGAGGAAGCTCGTGGACTTCGGATTGGCGTGCTGTTTTACCCGTGGGGAACCCATGCGACAGTGCGCTGGCACTGCAATCTACGTGGCACCCCAGGCCTCAGCAAACCAGATTCCCCAGGTTCATGGGTAGCTAGAAGTAGGGAGCAAAGTTCCAAACCATCGTATAAGTGTATCTTGCCTGGTGACTATTCCAGGAAGATATGATTACCCATGACCTTTCAAACAATCTGACTGCCAGCTGAAAGAGCTCTGGATGCGTTCCGTGAGTGGCAGGTGCTTGAATGCAAGTACGACCACTCTATCGACCTTTGGAGCTGTGGTGTGCCCAAACTGCAACCGGTCTCATCCTTGTGTGCGGCATGCACGGATGTAGTCATGGTGTGCCTGTTGGCGTTTTTGATGCAAGTTGCCACCGGCTGTTGTGTGCTAGTACTACAAGATCCCACGGAGATGCTGAGCATCAACATGCATGCAGTGTCAAGGTGCTGCTCTACATCTTGCTGTGCGGCTATCCCCCCTTCCGCGGCGACACGGACGCCGCAGTCATGAATGCCATACGAAGGCCGGTTGGGGCAAGGCTGATCGAGTCGAAGCAGATGCGTGTTGAGAAGCCGCTGCCGTAACTTACTGGGGATTAGTCGGGAATGAGGGATCATGTACATGAAAAAAAGCTTATACAGGGATTCTATTTCCTTACACTTGTTCCTTACATGATATTACATAGGGCTTATACATGGATTCTATTCCAGTATTCCCTACCAAGAAGCAGCAAGACGATCAAGGGCAACCACTCCCTGACTCCTAAACCCTAATCTCTTAAACCCTGATCTCCAAACCCTAATCCCTAAACCCGAAGCCCTAATCCTTAAACCCCTTAGCCCTAACCCCTAAACCCTTACCCCTTAACCCTGAACCCTAAGCCCTAAACCGCAACCATCAGGGGCAACTACTCCTTCCCATCTTCGGACTGGGGATTGGTGTCGCAGGCGCCGTGAGGGTTTCGGTTTTGAAGGTTGGCTTACCACTTGGAGGGTAGGGTTTAGGGTTTTGGGTAATGGAAAAAATGGAAAATGAAATTGAAATTGCAGGGGTTATAGGGGTTATATAGGGGTTATATAGGGATACTGGAAAAGAAAATGGAAACTATCACGTAGGGTTAGGATTTATGGTTTGGGGTTTCGGCTTTGAAGGTTGGCTTAGCACCTGGAGGGTCAGGGGGATATAGAAAGTTCAGGTTCTGGGTTTAGGGTCGGGGGGCTAAGCAATAGTTGAAAAGAAATTGCAAACTACCGCATTTTGTTTGGGGTTTAGGGTTTAGGGTTGGAGAGTCAGGGTGACTTAGTAATAATGGAAAAGAGCATGTACACTATTATTTAGGATTTAGGGTTTAGGGTTTAGGGTTGTAGGGTCGGGGGGACCTAGTATGTAAGTTAGTAACCCCTACAATCCATATAGTAACCTTGGTTAACCCCATTATTACCCTCCTTACTAAGTCCCCCGGACCCTGCAAGCTGATTCTTCTTGCATGTGTGAGCACCTGAGGACGGAAAGTCGCTGATCCGCATGCTGTTGAAGATGAAGCCCAAGGTGCTGAATGGGGTTATTAGGGTTTAGGGTTTAGGGCTTAGGGTTTAAGGTCTTTGGGATAATGGAAAGTACAATGGAAACTACTACAATGGGTTATATAGGGATTATAGGGTATATCTTGTGGTTATGTAGAGGTTATATAGGGATAATGGAAAAGCAAGTGGAAGCTACTATTTAGGGTTTAGGGTTTGGGGATTAGGATTTCCCAAAGTTAGGGATACCTTTTGGGGGTCCCCATAATATGGACTACAGTATTTTGGGGTCTATGTTAGGGTACCCCCTATTTAGGGAAACTACCGAATTGAGCCACAATGCAATCCACATGGCATCTGGATTGAATCCATGCTTTAGCTGCGTCCATTTTTTGACCCTGTAGCCATTCCAGGTTGCGAGGTTGGCTGTCATAGGTTTTGTCCAGTTCTTGATGGCGCTTGAAAAGGGCGAATCCAGGATGGGTTATGTAGCCTGGTGAAACAGAGGGCGTGGTTGTCGAAGTCAGCGATATGTTCGAGGTTCACAAGGTACCGTAGTCTGCAAGGACGTGATTTTTTCGGTATGATGGAGATGGCCATTGGCATTGCTTGTTGGAACTACCTTTCATTACTACATTTTTTTTTATGAGAACGCAACCCTTGGCTTCAGAAACAACCTTTGGTAACAGCAAAGCGTACCTGACATAAGTAGGGTGCACATCGGCTTAGCTGAAAAAACATGGGGTGAGCGTGTATAGTAGTGCCAGAGGTGTGTCCTGCCTAGATTGCACCCTAAACCCTAAACCCTAAACCCCAAAACCAAAAGGCCCGTTAAAAACCAAAAAAAAACTGAACCCCTAAAACCTTAAAACCTTAAACCCTAAACCCTAAACCAGCACTCCACACGTCATTTGCTCGGCAGGAGCGGATTACGGCTGAAGGCGCTCTGAAGCACGCCTGGATTCAGGACTCTGATAGGGTTTAGGGTTTAGGGGTTTAGGGTTTACGTAGGGTTTAGGGGGTCATGTCCAAAATGGTAAGGAGGATTTACTGGTAGTTGCTGGCCGTGAAGAAGGAAGCAGTAACATTAGAGCAATGATGCTTGCAGGTGCGCGTGTAGTTGTAAGTTGGGGAAAAGATGATGGCCTAAACTAGGTCAAAACTATCCTTATCCTTCTCACAACTCTACCTGAAACTAGTCATGAACCCTATGTCTGTATACATATATATATATATATGTATATCCGTCCCCCAGGAACACACTGATGTTATGCTGTAGGAGCCAAAGAGCGAGCCGGTGCAGCTGCAGAAAGCGCTCTGATCCCAGCTTGCAGCGACAGGAGGGTGGATGGAGGAAATCACTGGGTTTAGGGTGGCTTGGGGTTTAGAGTCTAGGGTATAAAGTTTAGAGTTTAGGGTTCAGGGAACTTGGATTGAGTTACCATAATCTGGGTATATAGTGAATGATAGGGTTTCCTTGTTAAGTTCCTTAGCAGCAGCCCAGATCATGGGGTTTAGGGTTATAGAGGGTTATATGAGGTTATATATGGGTATCTAGCGTGCTATTAGGTTCTATAGGGTTGAGAGCTAAGGGTGTAGGATCTCCAGTTCGGATTTTGGGGTTTGAGGATCCCTCAAAAGTACTGTAGCTGCTAGGGTATAGGGTATATCCGTTAGCGAAATACTTCCCCCATCCGCCGCAGTTGACTATAGTCCCCCTTGAGTCGATAGAATATGGGGCATAGGGGGATCTTATTATGCCCACAGCCGTATTCTATCTACTTAAGGGGGGCTGTAGCTTTG